CTCAGGGCTGATCTTCCTCACACACAAAAAAAATAAAATAAAAATACATAAATAAAATAAAATTTATTCAGTTGAATTTACAAAAAAAAAAAAAAAAAGAAGAAGAACCCTCAATCTTCTGAACATAATGAGGATAAAGTGCCATGGGAGAGTCAGGTTGAGACGTTCAGAGAGCAGCTGGACACGCCTCTTGAGTTCAGGCCAGAATTCTTGGCTAGAGCTCTGAACCCGATGTTAAACGGTATTTGCAGTCATGATAAAGTGACAGACCACTCAGAGAGAGAGCGTAAGGAGAAGAGAACTCAAGAACCCTTGGGAACATGGAGTATGACAGGACTCACCCTCTTCTATTGCCAGATAGAAAGGATTCTTCCTCCACTCTACCACAAAGACAACTCCTCTTTCGAAGCCCAAGTCATCACACTGCACTAATACCAGCTTCCATCACCCCTTCCGTATCGCTCCCGTCATCTGTTGACCTCCTGCTCCTCAGTTCCCCAGTGTCAAAGACAGCAGTATCGAAGTACAGTTTCTCTCCTCAAACCCCAACTCAAGACCACCATTGTGCTCAGTGTTTAGGCGAATGACCCATCTGACATCCTAGCAAAAATTTCTTGAGTAAATTCTGATAACCTTATCCTGCATTCTACTTCAGTCAAAAACAAAACAGGGGCTGGCCCGGTGGCGAAGGCGGTTAAGTTTGCGCACTCTACTGCGGCAGCCTAGGGTTCGCAGGTTCGGATCCCTGGTGCGCATCCACGCAGCACTTGTCAAGCCATGCTGTGGTGGCATCCCATATAAAGTGGAGGAAGATGGGCATGGATGTTAGCCCAGGGCCAGTTTTCCTCAGCAAAAAGAGGAGGATTGGCATCGGATGTTAGCTCAGGGCTAATCTTCCTCACAAAAACAAAAAAACAAAACAAAACAAACAAAAACTAATCTTGTAGTTTCTACTTTCTTTTTTTTTTAACAGTTTTATTTATTTATTTTTTTGTGTGTGTGAGGAAGATCAGCCCTGAGTTAACATCCATGCTAATCCTCCTCTTTTTGCTGAGGAAGACTGGCTCTGAGCTAACATCTGTTGCCAATCCTCCTCCTTTTTTTTCTCCCCAAAGCCCCAGTAGATAGTTGTATGTCATAGTTGCACATCCTTCTAGTTGCTGTATGTGGGACGCGGCCTCAGCATGGCCGGAGAAGCGGTGAGTCGGTGCGCGCCTGGGATCCAAACCACGGCCACCAGTAGCAGAGTGTGCACACTTAACGGCTAAGCCACGGGGCTGGCCCTCTACTTTCTTAACAAACACCCTTTGATCTAGCTGCAGCAAATACAACAAATATCCTAAATGCTGTACCCCATCAATTGTAAGATCCCCCGTTACTGTATATGCTAACTAAAAAAGAAAACTACGGCATGTCATCACACATTGAACACACTCCAATTTCAGAAATATAAAAAAGTGAAAGAACTCCAAATCCTAGAATTGATAAAATATGGCTTGTAAAATATTACAAAAACATGTATATATATATACTTTAGAAGGACATAAATTGACAAACCACAGGACAAACACAAACTGCCAATAAAATATATTTTAAAATTTAAAATTCATAAATAATAAATAGTAAAGATGCAAATTCAAGCAAGACACCATTTTTCATCCATCAAAATCACAACATATTGGGCCAGCCCCGTGGCTTAGCGGTTAAGTGCGCACGCTCCGCTGCTGGCGGCCCGGGGTTCGGATCCCGGGCGGGCACCGACGCACCACTTCTCCGGCCATGCTGAGGCCGCGTCCCACGTACAGCAACCAGAAGGATGTGCAGCTATGACATACAACTATGTACTGGGGCTTTGGGGGAAAAAATAAATAAATAAATAAAATTAAAAAAAAAAAAAAATCACAACATAAAAAAGATAATATTGGGGCCGGCCCTATGGTGTAGTGGTTAAGTTCTCACGCTCTGCTTTGGCGGCCCAGGGTTCGCAGGTTCGGATCCTGGGAGTGGACCTATGCACCGCTCATCAAGCCATGCCGTGTCGGCGTCCCATACACAAAATAGAGGAAGATGGGCAAGGATATTAGGTCAGGGCTAGTCTTCCTCAGCAAAAAGAGGAAGATTGGCAATGGATGTTAGCTCAGGGCCGATCTTCCTCACCAAAAAAAAAAAAAAAACATAATATTATTGCAGGAAATGTGGTGCTACTTACTACACTGCAAGCCCAGCAGGTTGGACTATAAATTGACGCATTCTCTAGAAAGCACTTTGGCAACTTGAATTAAGAGCCTTAAAATTGTACACATCCTGGGCCGGCCCCATGGCTTAGCGGTTAAGTGCGTGCGCTCCACTGCTGGCAGCCCGGGTTCGGATCCTGGGCGCACACCGACACACCACTTCTCTGGCCATGCTGAGGCCGCGTCCCACATACAGCAACTAGAAGGATGTGCAACTGTGACATACAACTACATACTGAGGCTTTGTGGAAAAAAAGGAGGAGGATTGGCAATAGATGTTAGCTCAGAGCCGGTCTTCCTCAGCAAAAAGAGGAGAATTAGCACAGATGTTAGCTCAGGGCTGATCTTCCTCACACACAAAAAAAATTGTACACATCCTTTGACCCAGTGTTTCTACTTCTAGGAATCTAACCCAAAGAAACAATCAGAAATGGATAACAGAGATAATGATTTCTATATAATATTGTTCACTGCAGCATTGGGGTGGGGGATGCACAAAACAGGATTGGTTAAATAAATTATGGCACATCCAACCAATGTACTGATACAGCCATTATTATGTTTACAAATTACTTACGATGTAACATTAAGTCAGAAACGTAGTCTCATGATATTCAGCATGATTCCAAGTATATTAAAAATACACACACAAACACACACACACACACACACACAGAGAAAATTACAGCTAAAATGTCTTAACTTTGGGCCACAGCATATCAAGTGGCTTTTATTTTGTTTTCTCTCCAAATTGTATTTGCCAAGCAATCATTATTATCTCATGTTAAAAAATAAAAATTGGAAATAAAAATTTTAAATGTTTACCAAGTAAAAATATAAAAATCATTCTTGGCTTCATTCTCAATCATACTCCCAGAATGACAGGAGTTTAATGTTTCTTTCCAACTGTTTTTCCATTTATAGTCATGCATATCCATATCATACATAGCATACGCAATAAAACATTTCAAATGGCATCATTCTATACCGTTCTGCAACTTAATAAGCCATAATTAACATAATCAATTCTGTGTTGATGAACATGCAGTCTCTAACTCTTCACTATCAGAATACCAGATAGGGTAACTTTTTTACTTTTTGCCAGTCTATGGGTGAGAAATAATTTCACTGTCTTAATATTTAAAATGTTCTTTTTTTTTAATAATTTTATTGATTTATGTTTCCCCCAAAGCCCCAGTAGATAGTTGTATGTCATAGTTGCACATCCTTCTAGTTGCTGTATGTGGGACGCGGCCTCAGCATGGCCGGAGAAGCGGTGTGTCGGTGCGCGCCCGGGATCCGAACCCGGGCCGCCAGCAGCGGAGCGCGTGCACTTAACCACTAAGCCACGGGGCCGGCCCTAAAATGTTCTTAGAATTAGGAAAATAATATATGATAATTGTAAAGGTACTCAAACTTTACAGGAGTATGTAATGTACTGATTAAATGTGATTTTTCCAGAAGCTTAGCTATGAACAGGAGAGGAGAAAGAAGGGCAATTTTATGATGATTACTCTCAGTTTTCAAATGAGGAAAATGGGCTCAGGAGTCCCTCAAGGTTGTAGCCTCGGCAGCGAGTCCTGACAGGGTGGGGAGTCAGACCCGCGTCCATCTGTGCCCGTCCAGTTCTCTTTGTAATTAAGCCCCATGGTCGTGTGCATTGTTTTGCACCAAGCCTGGCAGAGCAACCAGATATCCAGAACGGCAAAAAATGGCTTCCTAATGCCATCACTGCTTTTCTTCCTTACCAAATCCTTGGCATGTCGTAGACGCCTTCCATTCTTTGGACCATGCCTACGCTTCATCCTGTAACTATGAGTATGCCTGCACAGATTATGGAACAAGGGGCAGTTACCTAAAACCACACGCTAGGCTCTTTCCTGCCTGCAATGACACAATCCTTTCCCTTCCCCAACCAACCCTGCCTCTGATATAAATCAGATACCCCATTGTCCCTCTAGACTTGGCTCAAGGCCACCTCTTCTATGAGGCCTTCCGTAGCCCAAGTGTCAGGCAGAAGTGGTCACTCGTTCCTTGGAATTCCTCTCTACCCTGTACATCCATTCTATCACGCGTATGTCACTGCGTTAGTCCATGTCTGCCCTTCCACAGCGATGTCACCTCCTGCAGAGACCCTGCCTTATCCGGCATTGTGTCCCAGCAACTTGCACCCTCAGTGTGCGTTCAGGGGGTTGGGGAAGGAGCCTGAAGGCAGAGTGTGAGTGTTGGGCGGGATCCTTCGCCGCCCTGACTCTTACCTTATGAGGCCGGTGCTTCTCGTGAACATGAAGGATATGGATCCGGAGGCGGTCCCGCTTCTCAAAGGATCGTTTGCAGAGAGAGCAGGGAAATTTCCTGTCACCCTTGTCCACACAGGGGGTGTACTTGAGATGCTTATCTCTGTAATATTTGTAGGTAAATACTTTTCCACATCTTTCACATCTGTAACCTTCTGCAGACTCTGTCAAACACAGGGATAGGTGCCAGGGGCTTTAGCAGCTTCCTTCCCTCATTCCTACTTCCTCCAAGACAATTTTTTAAAACTTTTTATTACAGAAAATTTTAAACATACACCAAAGTCAAAATAACAAACTCTCATGTGCCCAACACCAAGCTTTAACAATGACCAATACATAGCCAATTTGTACATAGCATTTATGTGCCTTCCCTCCACAATGGATTAATTTAATACTCATTTATCATTCGGTTCAGAAATACCCTAGGCTGTAATTTTTAAAATATCATAATTTTTTTAAAGCATAACCATAATGCCATTGTCATACCTAAACAATTAACTCTTATGCCTTAATAGAAATACATATACATGTGAGTACTTATATACATATATGTATGTTTGTTTAATTATTTCAAGGTCAGTTTGTTCAATTTAGGATTCAAAGTTTATGCGGTGTCCATGGTTGCTACGTCTCTTCAGTTCCTTAATTTGTAGGTTCTCCTTCCCTTTTGTTCCCTGCAATGTATTTGTTGAGGAGGCCCTGCCTCCAGCCCCATTTAAGAGCAGTTCAGTCCTGTAGTTCTTGAACACTCCAGATTGGCATGCATTACAAGGTTAATATACCAAAATATACCTATCTCATTGTCCCTTTCAGATCAGCCTGAGCTACAAGTTCAAAGCCATTCACCCAGGACAACGACGGGAACCCACAGCTTATCTCCCAGGCTTCACAAGCGCTGTTCCACTGACCACAGTTACGAAGTCTTAGGTGCCCTTTTAGCTTATAGTTCACTTCTCTGAACTTCTGGGGAGGATTCGAGAGCTAGACTCTTCATGTGTAGAGTAAAGATGACAACATCTTGCCTTCCCTAATACATAGGGTTATCACGACGATTAATTTAATTCTAACACTTATTGAGTTCTTACCACCGTGAGTGATGCTATCACTGGGTGATAGACAAGACCTGGAGAGGTAAATGTCTTTATCAACAGAGGAGGGTGGGGGAGGAGAGAGGTTAGAGAGGGTGCAGCCGACTCTAGCAAAGGAGGTCCCAGGTCCAGGGGTGTCTATGTATTGGGGGGAGGGGAGAGGACAGGGGCCACCTACAAAAGCACCCCTGCCGAGGCCACTCTGGACTCCAGAGGATCAAGTGGCTTTGACTGTGAATGCATCACTGAGACCTCATTGTCTGGCCCCAGGGAAGGCGAGGAGAGCCAGGAGTGAGTCTATGCAAGTCTGGAGATGGAAATCTTTTTGGCATCAGGACAGCAGGGAAGCTATCCATCAGGAGGTTTGTTAGTTGACAACTATGTCCCAGGCACGTTTAACAGGTGGCTAAGGAAATAAACTATCCATTAAGTAAATAACCAGGAAGACAACCGCCAACTCCAGGACGAGGCATCGCCTAGCCAAGTCTATCACTTTCATTGAGGTGCTAATCCTCTCCGAATCCCCCTGCCGGGATGAGTTTTGCTCAGAGCTAGAATTTTCATTGGTCAGAAATACCTGGCCTTCCTGCTTCCTGGTGAGGGTCTACAAGACAGGGCCAGCGGTCTTTACAAATCAAAGCACTAAAGCCCACCAAAATTCAGAATAAAGGTTCAATAGTGAGTTTGCATAAGAACAACTACTTAGGCAAAAAGGACACACCACCTTTACTAATGAGGCTTCAGCTGCCCACATTTTCTGCTCCGGTCTTTGGAAATTCTCTTAACCTATTTTTATCCTGTTTCCTTTCCTTCTTCCTCCCCCTCATCTCAATCAACTACTCTTTTTAGCCAAGGGGTTTCTCAGAAACCAGTGATGGTTTCTGCCCCACCACAAACACACAGTTCAGGCAGTTTGGAAACTATTAAGAGTTGTCTTCACATTCCACACCTCCATCCCCCAAAACACACACTCCACAGGTTTGCATACTCAAATAACCCGCCCACATAGGGTCCAGACCCTTCCCTCCCACTCAAGACCTTAGAGGGGGAGACTCCCAGCAATCCCCCAAAAGCCTTTGAGAAAAAGAGTTCTTTTGAGAGGACAGAATTTTTCTTTTCTTTTTATGCTACCCAAAAACATTCATAACAGAAAACAAATGAATTCATCCATAATTGTTCCCAACAAATTAAGTTGTTTACAGGTTCCCTTCCACACATTGTCCAAAATACATATTATTTTCACAGTGCTGTAAGCATTGGATATAATTTGGTTCAGAACTGGAGCCCAGGTAACTGCATGCTGGATTTTTCCCTACTTACCAACATAAGCTCTCATCCCTGCTGCTGCTTATACAATTGTGATCTGATATCTGCATATTATCCCTTGTTAATGTATCATCATTTACTTAACAATTATTCTACTACTGAGCATTTAGGTTGTTTGTATGATTTCTCACTACAATATGGATGGTGCTGCAGTAAAAATCCTCGTGGACAAAGCTTTTCCTTTTGGACTATTTCCTGAAGATAAATTTCCAGAAGAGTATTACCGAGACATCAAAGGTTATGAACATTTTAATAGCTCAATACATAGTGTTAAATAATTTTTCAAAAGGATAATGATTAAATTTTGCGAGTTATCAAGCATGTATTTTTCACTTTTATTTCAAAAGTGATGGGCACATTTTTAGAAGCGACCAAAAGGACTCACTAGGATACTGCTCATTATTTACCTCCTAATCCCTGGGGGACACATCCCTGCCTCTGGCTTCACTATTCCTGGAGCCCTGAGCCTGGATTGCCTTCTCTCTCCCTGCCTATCACATCCCTTATTTCATCTCATCCCTAAAGCATCTTTTCCCAATTTAGTCGCAGTGTCTTCCTCCTGCATTCAATGCACACTGGGATCCAGGAGCAGGAGATATCAAGGTGTTTAGGGTCATTCCTGCCCTGAAGGGTCTCGTTCTGGCTGGGAGACGCATGCAGGCAATCGCTGCAGTGTGCAATGAATGCAATTCACATTTTCTTTAACCTGTTATTTATTACATTTATTATAACCTTATAAGATGGTCTTCCGATTCCACATACCACAGTAATTTGCATTTCTTATCCCACTTACTAGATCAGTAGTTCCCAAACTGTTGTGTATATAAAAATCATTTGGAGAGCTTATTTAAAGTGCAAATTCCAGAGGCTCACTCCGAGAGAGTGGGTCGGTGGTCCTCTAGCTCTTTGCTACTCAAATGTGGTTCAGGGAGCAGCAGCATCAGCAACCCCTGGAAGCTTGAGAGAAATGCAGAATCTCAGGTCCCAACCCTGAATGAGAATCTGCATCTTCCCAAGATGCCCGGGTATTCACATCCACATTAACATTTAAGAGCCAGAGTTTAGCTCAATGCTTCTCCAAGTTGACTGAGACCCACAGTAAGAAATACAGTTTACATTTGAGACCCAGCATACACGCACATATCCATTTGAAACAAAACCTCACCAAACAAGGCTTACTCTTACTTAAGTAAGAATCACATCAATCTTTTCCATTCTATTTTATTCTTATTCTCTTTTTTTCCTTTAATGCTAGTCTCCACCACTAAATTGATTTCCCACTGCAGCCCACCATTTGAAAAACACTGCTCGAGAGCTTTGACTTCATCAGCTGTGGTAACCTGAGCAGAGATGAATCGGAAACTGGCTCATCTAAGGCAAAGGTTGCATCCCTTTATTTCACTTTTGTTTTATTCTCTGGGAGGGGGTAAAGGGGCAAAATAAAAGGTTTCCTGGTGAACAGAAATAGCATCAACAACTTTGGAAAGATGAGGGCACTTTCCTGCAGCTGGGTAATGCCCTCTTGGTTAGGGACACCCTCAGTTTAGTCCCCTGCACTAGCCTTTGGGAGGGAGGAGCTCCATGAGCAAGCAGAGAAGCTGTGGGAAGGTGTTCCGGTGTTTATGTTGGAAAAGAGCCCCGTCTTTCCACTTGGAGGGCTTCCCTGAGCGAGGAGCGCACTCACCTTCCGAGGGCCCAGATGCCTGCTTCCCCTTCTCTGTGACCTGAAGGCTCACAGGAATGTCCAGAAACTTCTCATAGCAATCTCCGTACCACACAAGGAGCTCTTGGTTCTGGTAGATCTCCTTGCAGCTCTCATAGAAGATCTGCCCTTGGCATTGCACTGCAACGAGGTTCTGCTCCTTGGGGAACCGGGCGCAGTTGACATAGGACATCCAGTTCCCTGCGCCTCCTTTCCCGTCTATAAAGTGGCTCAAATGACCATCTTCAAAGATCTAAATGAAATAAGACATGAAGTTTGAAAAACGCACATTTTTTTGGCCTAACCTATACAATAAATTTACTTATTAAAATTTATAATCCAAATCTCACACTTGAGTCCACTGAATATTTTTTATTATTATTATTAATATTAAATTATTATTAAGGCTAAATAAATTTATTAGCTTAAGAATATCTCTATAGGTGATGTGATATTTTTAAAAGATTCTTACTTCTATCACTTTCTTGATTTCCAAATTTCTGTAGTGAGCATATGTTAATTTCATAAGCAGAGATAAGGGAAACAAGAGGTCACATTTAATCCCACCATTTAAAGACCACCAATTAGTTTTGTATTTTATCCCACTCTAGTTTTTATGCATATTAATGGAGCCATGATTTAATTCTTTCTCTGCTGTCGGCAATTTCACTGTATCCAATGTTTTATTATTCTAAACAACCCCATGATTAACATCTTCCACATAGTCTGAATTTCAGATCCCTTTCCTAAACTATATTCCCAGAAGTAGAAATTCAGGGTCAAGAGGGGGTTATCTGACATATTCTGACAAACTTCGGTCTTACCAGCATGTTCCATACACAGTCAAGAGTATCGGTTTTTATAAATCCTTAGCTAATTTCATAGGCAAACGATATCAAAATTTTAAAATTTGTATTTATGCCCTTTGGCATTCTCAGCATCACTCTATATTTAAAGCATTCGATTTTGTCTATAAACATAACACAATGTATTAATTCTTTAAATGTATATTCCATGGCTAATCTTCACAGACTAAAATGACTTAAGGCACCACAAAATCCATAGAATTCATGCAGAGGCACTGTCCTCAGGGAGTGACCTCTGCCTTTCTTTCTCTTTATATTGCAAAGCAGGCAGTACAGACAGCAGATCACTGCCCCAGTGCCCGTCTCCCAGGTCAGGACTCTCCCAGAGCAGCAGCCGCCAAGATTTTTCCCCACCAGCCTCCCTCCCCGCTTTTAGCCAACCCACCAGAGACATATTTACCTCCCACATCAGAGAATTGTCTCCATAGGTCTTGACTTCACTGGCGTTGACCACTTTACCTTGAAAGGGCCCAAATCTGACTCCTTTGGCGATGAGGCTAATGCAGAACACACCAAAATGTGAGACTTCACCAAACATGGTCTGCCTGAGGCAGAGACCTAGGAGAAACCAGAAGCAGGAAAGCCAGTGAGGAAACGGAGGCATCCATTTGAGGAAAGAAATCCAAGCCAGGCGCCCTGCCTACCTTCTGGTAGCTGAAGGGAGTCTTTATCCAGAGTTTGAGGAAGAGTATCAGACCCTAGAAAAAGGGTTAAAATTTTATTTTTCATTAAAATGTATTATGAAATGTGTTCATAAGGCACTTCCCTCCCTACCCCCCAGAGGTAACCCACTATCCTGTGTTTGTTGTTTACCTATGTTTTATATCTTTCCTGGTCCTTTACATATACAATTTCTCATTTGGGTCTCAGAACAACCCTTGCAAGGTGATGTAATTGACCCCATTTTGCAAATTTAAGGAGAATCAGAGACAATACTGATTTTGACTAAGGTCAAGGTGGATAGCTGAGCTAGGTCTTCCAGTGTGAATTGCATGAGGCTCTCATTGAGATACCTTGCAGATCCTGGTAGAATCTGATCCCAGCTGACAAGTCCACTGCAGGAACCATTTCTCTCCTCGCCCTCAGCTCGCACTAAAACAACCTCAGCAGTCATGTAGTTAAGCAAGAAGGGGCTCAGAAGTGAGCCTGCCTGCCCAGGCTCCATCCTTTGATGGAAGTAGCTACACCCCGCTTCCGGACTTTACAGCCTCAGATCCACCTCGAACGAAGCGTCCCTTCCCTACTCCTGCCCCCTCCCACCTCTATCCCATCCAACCCAACTCCCGGATGATGTAGACCTCCTTTACCAGAGCTGTCTGTGGGTACCAGGAGCCCCGAAATCGCATGGTGCAAGCGCGCTGAGTGCTCCAGGCTGGGAATGACCCCATACAGAACTAAGTACAGGTCCTCCTGGGTAAAGTGGTAAGGCCGAGACTTCTCTTGGTTCAGGAGTTTGGGGCCATTCTCAGACCGCTTGCTGGGCGAGCAAGCTAATACCTGGGAGGTCTTCAGCCCCTCAGGTAACACGGAAGCATCCACAGGGGGCAGCGGAATTAAAACTTCAGGTCCACAACACTGGCTACTGTCCCTGCGGCCACCGATGCGGCCCAAGTCTTCACTGGCGGCGCCTGTGTACTCGCGGCTGCTGTTCAGAAAGTGCGGCACCTCCATGGGGAGGTGGGGCATTGGGTACCACGGTGTCAGCTTGCTGTACCAAGGCAGATCGTAGAGCGGCTCCCTCTGTAGGGCCAGGCCGGGGCTCAGCAAGGGAGGCGCCGTCCGGAAGGCGATGGAGGTCATAGCCTGGGCCGCAGACACGGTGGCCTCCAGCTGCCGGAAAGGCTGGAAATCCTCCTCCGTAGCGGCGAGGGTGTTCCCGTAGTGGCCATAGGGCGGGCAAGGCGTGTAGTAGGCGGCCAGGTGCTGGGGGCTGCTCTGGAGCCTCTCGGGCAGGTAGCACACCTTGTCCTGGGGGCCGGCCTCGCCTGGCGGCCGCAGAGCCATCCCGGGCCACAGCGCGCGGCGGGTCTGCGGAAAAGCAAGCGCGGCCGAGTGAGGGGCGCGGGGCGCTGTGGCCCTGCTCCTGCCTGCCGAGCCCCCACCGTCCGCGCCAGCCCCCGGTCGAAGGGACCTGGATAAAGTTCCCCCTTCGAACCCGCACGCCTTACCCCACAAACAGAACCAAACAAAAAACAGCAAAAAAAACAAACACTAAACAACCAAAAACGAAAATCTGCAGGGAACCTGCCCGACTCCAAGTTCCTGGTGAGGGTCGCCCTTGCCTTCCCTCTCCAAACACACCGGGACCAAACACGGCTGGTTTCCACCCCCCACTCTCTACATGCGGCCCCCAACCCGGCTCCTGCAAAATCTGTTTCGGGTTCCCTCTCCCGCCCTCTTCTCGGTCCAACAAAACTCCTTCCCAGGGTCGGTCGGAGGGGCCAAGCCCTCCCTCTCCCGGGGCTGCGGCCGGGAGCCGAGCGCAAGCCCGTCCTGAGCTTTGGGGCAGGCGGCAGTTCCAGGCGCTTCTGGGTCCCCAGAGGAAGGGAAGGGCCGAGAGCCCCGGGTCGGATGGCGCAGAAGAAAACGCGCTCCCCGAGCCCGGGGCAGGTCCAGGAGGCCGCCCCGCTGCGAGCCCGGGTCTGACCCCGCGGACCCAGGCGGTCCCGGCTGCCGGGAGGAGCGGGGCGCCGCCTTCGGCTCCCCTCCGAGCTCCGCAGGCAGCGCCCCGGTTTCTCACGTGGGCCGAGTCCCGCCACATCCCCCAAGCCCCCCGGGAAACTCCAGTCACCCCACCCGGGGACGTAGGGGGTGCGGAGTCGCCTCTCGGGAGCAGGCGAGGACGACCCCCAGGCCGGGTGGGCCGCCGGCCCGCGCGCCCCTGCACCGCCGCCACCCCAAAAGGACGGCGTTTCAATGGACACAAGTTCACCAAGGCTGAGGAGTGGAGCCCCTTCAGGGCCGGCGGGTCTTGAGGGCAAGATCAATGAGTCCAATAAGGAAACCAAGCAGGGTCGTGACTCAGAAATTAAAGAACACGGGGGTCGGGACTAGAGGTCAGCCACGACGAAGGCATCTGCCCGTCTCCTCCGGAGCCACCAAGGGCGCACCGCTCCTGGCCTCCCCACACCCCAAGGATCTGCAACTTGGGGTTGCAAGCCACTTAAGGAGTAAAAGCCCCAAGAGGGCAAAACGACCACCCAAAACGAACTGCGCCAGCGACTGCTGCCTGCGCTTCCCAACTGCCCGGCAGACGACGGCCCCGGGCCACCGCGGCGCGCCCGGCCGGCACCCACCTTCCGGAGCGCCGCCGCCGAGCGGGCGCGCCAGGACCCGGGGCCGCGCAGGGGGCTCGGGACCGGCAGGCTTCGGGCGGGCCCCGAGGCCCAAGGAGGGTTTAAGAGGGCGGCGGGCGGGCGGGGCCCGGGGGCATGGAGAGGGCGAGGGTGGGGAAGAGACGCGGCCCACGCAGGTCCCCAGGCCCGGCCCTCCCCGCCCACCGCAGCCATTGGCCCGCGCTCGACTCGCCCCCCAGTCCCCAGGGGGTCGCGCACTCAACTCACCAGTTCTCCAAACCCCCTCCCGGCCCCGGTGGAGCTCTCGCCGCCGGCTTTCTGGGGCGGGCACTATTGCGGCTCTAGGCTTGCCGGGGGGCGGGGGGGGGCGAAAAGCTTGGGCCAGTGTTACCCAGGGACCCCAAGCCAAGACAAGCCCCTCTGCGCGCACACCGACCCTGAACCGGCGCCCCTAAGGCCGGGACTCGCGTCCCTGCCTGTCGGCTTCGAGTTCCCAAGAGCCGAGCGTGGCCGAAGGCGGCGTCAAACCCCAAGGACCAGGTGGACGTTTGTCCCTGATACCTCGTGGGGAGCCGGGCACCGCCCCTCGGTGGGAAGCGGCGCCTCGCGGGTCCCGGGCGGGGGGCACCTAGACGCGGTGGGCTCGGCGCCCGCGACGCTTCCGAGGTTTCGGATGGTTGTTTAGCCCTCTCGGGGGCTTCTCCTTCTTAAGTACCTTTCAGTGTCCGAGGACCAGCCCCCTGCGCCGCCACCGCAGTCCCTCCCCCCGGGGAAGGCTCGCGACCTCGGTCGCGCGGGGCTCTGAAAAGCAAGGTCCAGACCCATACCGTGCGCTCAATGACCGCATTTTTATTCTCCTGGCCGGCGATTGAGGGAAAGAAAGGAGCACTTAGGCCTATTCACATTCACACAGGGAAGCGTCGAGGGCGGGGGAAACCCTAGTGAGGCCGGGTGACCTTGGCCGGGTTCCTAGCCACCCCGGCCGCTGCTTCCTCTGCAAAATGGGGCCAGCACTGCCCGCCTCGGGGCGCGGCGGTGAGGTCGAGAGGAGAGGCGGAAACCCACGGCGGCCTGGCCTTGGCTTGGTGACTAAACGTGGAGGGAGGGAAGGAGGAGACGTCCATCGGCTAAGACGCCGCCAAGGGTCCCACAGCGGGCGGAGAGGGAGCCCTGCGGCGGAGCGTGGCTTCCTCCGTGACCGACCCGACCTTCGAGAGCAGCCGCGGCGGGGCGGGTGCCCCCTCCGGGCCCTGACCCTGCGGCCTTGGCGGCCGTGCGGGAGGAGGGCGGGGAGGCGCGGGACCCCGCGGCCCTCGGGGCG